TGATTATTTGGGGTGCCGCGTGACGTGTTATGCTAGTCGTTGTAAGATCTGGTGTTTGTACTGTGGGATGGTGCTTTACAGCATCTCGGAGAATTAATATTTTTTGTTTGATTTTTTTTTCTGCTTTATTTCTTATTCTTTGCTTTGTTAGCTATTCCTTTATTTCCCCAATTTAAGTAAGGTGTAATGGCTCCTTTGATAAGGAAACGACGTATTGTTATAATATTCGCATGTATGCTGAGCCTTCTTGTGTTGGTATTCCTTTACCCGACAAAACAGTCTCCTTCTGTCAAGACATTCACATACCTGCCTCAAACTAGGTTCGTGGACAACAGGAAGACTGGGCAAAATGATATACTGTATGAGTACCGCATCTTTGTGTTTACATATGCAAGGCCAGAAGGACTTCGCGTGACGCTGTCATCTATACTGAACTCAGACTACTCCAAGGCTCGTGGCAGCACAATTGACCTGGAGGTGTTTGTGGACTATAGGCGTGACGATGGGGAGTCCATAAAGAATAAGCAGGCTGAAATCCTTGATATTCTCAGGGGCGTTTCATGGCCGTATGGTCGGTACAGAATACATCAGCGGTACACCAACATTGGTCTCCGATACTCAATCATGGAGGCGTGGCAGCCAGTGAGCGACCGCGAGGTGGCTGCTTTCTTCGAGGACGATGTGGAGGTGTCTCCGTACTGGTTTTCCTGGGTGGCCGATGCGCTCGTCCGCTACGCCCCGATCGGTGCAAATCATGCGATAGAGGTGGACCCCCGGTTTATTGGTTTCTCTTTATTTCGCCCACCCTACTGTCAACTCTCATCACGGTACGTCACAGTCAACAACGGTTACGCACCATTCTTGTTGCAGCAGCCCAGTAGCTGGGGAGCGGTGTACTTCCCCAAACCTTGGAGAGAGTTCCGAGAGTTCTTTGATGAAACAAAGGACTTGGACATTCAGGTGAAGATGGGTCGTGGTCAGCGTGATCCGTTGAGCAACAAGTGGGATTATCTCACCTCGTGGAAGAAGTACCTGATATACTACATGCANTATTGTTATAATATTCGCATGTATGCTGAGCCTTCTTGTGTTGGTATTCCTTTACCCGACGGAACAGTCTCCTTCTGTCAAGACATTCACATACCCGCCTCAAACTAGTTTCGTGGACAACAGGAAGACTGGGCAAAATGATATACTGTATGAGTACCGCATCTTTGTGTTTACATATGCAAGGCCAGAAGGACTTCGCGTGACGCTGTCATCTATACTGAACTCAGACTACTCCAAGGCT